AAATGGACATAATCGGAGAAAACAGCACCAGAACTGATCTCTTTCACCGCATGATGACGTAGAACAAAGCTCACGATGTTGTGTGACCTCAAGGAAGATCAGGTCAGGACTGACACATTCTATCATTTTCCTTCCTGATATAACATTTTCTTGGTGAAGCATTTTTTTTCTCCTTGTTTTGCTTTCTTCTTCATGTATCTAGACAAAATTGCAACCACAGGCATAGGGAGAGAGCAAAGATGCAAAATGCTGTGCTGTCTGAAGGGCGCCTGTACCTGGATAACCATTGGTTTGTCTCAGAGCCCTGTGTGTCCACACCTGTCCTCTGAGATCAGGCCATGTAAAAATCCCTTCCTTTCCCTAAAAGTGCATTTGTCTGGCTAATGCTTAGGATGTGGAAGCAAAATGGAAGTATGTAAAACTCCTGAGAAGCAGGGCTGTATCAGGTACTGATAAATGGTATATTTGTAAATAAAATATGGGGAGAAAGACCCAAGATCTTTATTCCAGGTGGAGTAAACTGCATTTACTCACATTCTTCTGTAGGTGCACCACTGGTATTGAATGTGGTCTCTCTTTGCTGTGGTCGTCTTACTGGTGAGGGAATAAGAGTGGGAAACTGTAAACCCATTTGGTTCAGATAATATGTTACATGAACTCAGTTGTTGGGAAGGGAAAAAACAGACAATATTTGTTTAGAAAGTGCAGCTTGTTCCAATTTGTGAGCAAGCAAATTAAGAAGATTGAGTTTTGTGGGGGTATTTTTAAATGTGGCAGTGTAGGGTTGGGGGGGCTGCCTGTAATCATGAAAGCCTATGAAATAAGATTTCTTTTTTCCTAAAGAGAGGAGCCCATTAAGGAATTTTAGCATATAAGCCATATAGTACCATAACATCTTCTGCAGAGTTTTCTGTCCCAGCATCCCAATCTCTTATCCCAGTCTCCTCCCATTACATCTATCTTCTCCTCTTCTTTTGGTCCATTTGGGGTATGAGGGGAAAGAGGCGAGGGGTTCTGCTTAACATTCGAGCTCACTTTAACCTCCCAACAGAGGTTGGCTTTCAGTTTGGGTAGGAAATGATGCAACTGTCATCTCAAGCAGGGGACAGGGATCAGCACAGGGGTGCAGGGCATGATGGGCTAGATCTCTGCACCAACATGGGAGGTCCCAGTCAAACCAGATTTTGGTTGGAAGCTAGTGACAGATCAACCAAAATTCTTCAGTTTGCAGTGGGAATTGTTGGGTGAAAACCTATGGTGTGGATCGTACAGGAAAGTAGATTTTGACAGACAAAATGTTTCATTTGGTCTTAAAAGCTCTGAAGCTCTCCACTTACTGGGGGAGAGGCAACTTCCAGCTATCTAGCTGCTGGGACTTTCAAAGGAGTTTAAAAGAATTAGGATCTTGACTGTCAAATAACCTTTCATATCTGTTGCAGGAAAAAATGGTTGAACAATTTATTTTCTGGCTGTTTAAAGTTTTGCTCTTATGCTACTAGGAGGAGTTAACATTTTTATGCTGAGTTAGGGTGTTGCCTACTAGTGAGGAAGATATATATGGACCTCATTCTTGGGAAATGTACTCCTCTGTGCACTACAGATGAATCAATTCCTTTAGACTGGAGCTGCATAGGTGTCCTTTGGTGACACAAAACTGCCACGAAACTCAGCAAAAAGCTGGGATTGCAAGAAGTAGATGTCATAATGAGTAATTGCTACCGAAAGGGAGGGCTCTGTTTTTGAGCTAATTGGGAAAACTGATGATGTGTTATGGAAGGGGGAAGAGGACATTTCATGAGATATTCCCATAATTGGTTTGGGTTGGGGTGGCCTTTTTTAAGGAGCTGGTTTAACCAATTCCTTCATCCCCACAAACATTACATAAGAGCTGCTGGCAAAACTAACACACACACACACTTCTTGTACAAAGGACTAAAAAACCGGCCCAGATGTTTACAAAGCAACCACAAGAGACAGGAAGAAAAACAAACATACAGAGATGTTTTAAATGCAGAGCAACCAACAAGCATAGGAAAAAAATATCCATGTTCCTGGCAGTAGCTTTTGAACATGATGAAACCATTTGGGACAACCATCCTTCAAACTTGCCCCATGGCAGGTTTGAATTATCAGTTATGTTTTCATTCATTACTTAAGGCCAAAGACTTCATCTTTCAGTATAGACCTACCCTTCTCTTCAAAGGCACATCGAAAAGGTGAGGCGGTGAGGCACATCTTCATCTATTTCTTGATTATTTGTCCTAATGGAGTAACCCGGCTTGCCCCTACTTTGCTTCTTCTGACAGAAGCTCTGCAGAAAGGACATAAAAGCGGATGCTTGTCTCCCTGGCTTCCTTTTTGAGTGAAATGGCACTGCGAATTGCTGCATCTCCACTTTCTTCAGGCAATGCAACAAGGAGTCTGGCTTCTGCACCAACTTGTTGGACTTCTTTGCCCAAAGCCACAATCCCCATGATTTTTAGGTCAGGAACAAGAGCTTTTTTTTCTCAGAGGTATTATTTTGCTTGTCTCCTTTGTTTGCTTAAGTGAGAATAGTTTGGAAATGTAGTGCATTTGGACAGACTCTTGAATTCATACAGTCACTCCTAAAATGCAGCTTACATTTTCCAGATGGCTTAATAACAAAGCTGATGTAATATTCTTTGCACATACATAAAAGTATTAAAGGATCTCACCAACTCATGTGCCTAGGTGAGGTAGTCCTGAACTACCAAACACAAGGCTAATTTAGATCTGTACACGAATGGATGAAGGTGCCAGGAGCAATGCTGTTTTTCGTTGAAGAAGACCATGCGCCGTACTCCTAAGCACTACAGATCTCTGTAAAAGCTGTTCACTTCAGCTCCTGGTGTCCTGAATTTGCTGGAGGAGGGCATGGCTTTTGTCCTCCTCTACCTACAAGTCAAAATGCTTGAAGAGAAGAGGAAAAATGCTCCCTTCAGGCAGGAATGTGGAGGTTGCAATTTATCGTTCTGGACTTGAAAGAGTAATTTTCAGTTCCAACTTGTTTGAAGAGGAATGGGCTGGTGAAAGAATTTAAGGGCACTTCTGAAATGCAAAATGTTGCCTGTCTGTGGAATGGCCCAGAAATGAAACATCCGTGAGGATCTATGGCTCAGATATTCCACACTGCCTGGACAGAATAATGAAACACTTCTCTTGAGATTTACGAGCTTGGAAAATAGGCTGCAGACTTCCAGCAAGGCCTGAAAATACTACAGACTACAGTTGGAGTCTCTGTATAAGCACTACAGGGTGGGAGTACTGGGAAGGAATCAGAGATGAAGTGTAAATGCAAACGCAGAAAAAAATATATTCTTTACTGTCATGAGACTCTCAAGCTGCAAAAGCGAAAGAGATTTTATCTTTCTAGTGTAAATTCCCTGTTCCTTGTTTTGTTTTCCTAACTAGGTACTATGTCCAACTTCCTACCATTGCGCTGCGAGGAGAGGTGCGGCGGGGAGGAGAGTGAATTCGGGTGGGAGCTTCTCTCCTAACAAATGTACAGGTGGCAGAGATGGTGAATTCAGGCTCCTTCACCTTCCTCCGTGAAGGCCAGGGTCTGGGAGGCACATGCTGTGAATGCTGTTTCGTAGCATATTGTGAACGCTGATCTGTCCCCTCCTGGCGAGTAAAGGAGGAGCGAGGCGGTGACTCGCCCATTTGAAAATAATGCCGTTTCCTATTAGAGAGTGGAAATGATCAAATCCTAGAAAACAGGAACTTGAGGTTAGCCAGACCATCGCAGCCCCACCGCCGTGTCAGCTCTAGGAGGTGTCTGACGTTGCTTCTCTGTCCTGTTCCTGAAAAACTGCAGCGAGTGGGATTCCCAGCCCTGGTTTGTACAAGCTGCACAGTTCAATTTTTTTCCTTGTTTGTAGTGCCAATCTCTCTTGCTGCAGGTTTGAGAGTGATTTGGGGTGTGAGAAAATCTTTTTTACGCGATTAGATGCGTCAGCTCAAGGAATGACATCTCACCCAGCAGTTCCAGCTTTCTGTTCTGAGAGCAGGGACCAAAATCTCCCGCATACACCCCTAAAGAAGGACCAGTTTTCGCTGTCACCTCTTGGATGCCTTTTGTGGAGCCAGGCTCTCAGTAAAGCTTCAGAGCACAGGCCCTGAGCTCTGCTGAAAGCCCAGAGAGCAACTTGGGTGCCACAGTGGGGAGCTGAACTCCTTTAAAAATCTGGTGCTGAGCCCTGCTGTAAAAAGAGCCATCTTTGCAAGGTTGCCCCAAAGGTACCCCAAAAGAGCCTACAGTCTAAATAAAGAAAAATAAGCCGGATCTATATCTGCCCAGTTTAACAGGACCTGGAATAATACAGGGAAGAGTGTTCAAAAACCAGGAAGGGGAGTGCATGCCCATCACCGCTGTTCCCCTAGGTTACAGAGGAGGCTTTTTAGTCATTACTTAATTTGCATTTGTTTGTTTTCCCAAGACTTCTACAGAGCGAAAGAAACAGGTTTAGTGGCTGTTGGGAAGAATTGCATGTTAAGGGCAAGGACCGCTCCCTAGATAATCCCTGCCTGTTATTCATCATGCTGTAGATTGTTATTAGCCTGATGGAAACTGTTTCTCAGTGGCTCTGCGTTCCTGGTGGGGACCCTGTAAACTAACGGGGCACGGGGCTTGGCTGGTGATTTCCTAATAAACGCCATGTGCAAAGACAGAGCAGAGAACGTTTTGGGGGTGGAGAATGAGAACAAGTGCCTTGCATGTGATGATTGATACTGCCAGGCGGACAATAATTATGATTTACACACGATTTCTTTATTCTTGAGGGGAAATCCCAGTTGCCAAGTATGTTAACGATGTATGTAATGGTGTGTTAACGGACACCATTAGTTTGCTGGACAAAACTGAGACCTCTGCCAAAACAAACCTTCTCCAATGGTACATTTTATGGATCAGCAGATTCTGCAAATGCTTCGGAGTGAAACTGAATGGTGGGGCACACGCTTCAGGAACGGCTGGCAGTTTCCTAACCGCAAGTTTAAAGGTATCTGCTAGCAATTAAACGCACTCGAGCATTTTCTTAATTTCAGCATCTTACCATTCCTCTATGACGTGCAATAATTGCAGTCCGGAAATAGTTTGTTTTAACATTATGACAGAAATTAGTACGGAAAATAGTCGAGCTCGCGTTAAGTTCTGCGCCCGCAGACCCCTGGCTCAGGGTGATTTCGG